GCAGGTGAATCAAATAAGGCTTTGCTATCAGGTAAAGTCAGTTACCTGCGGAAAATTTGACTTACATTTATCGAAATATCCAACTCACTTTTTACTAACTGTTTTAGTGTTGGATATGTCTGGGAAGTACGCTGCAAAATACGGTTTTGATAAAATGCCCAATTACAAACATGACATGGCTACAATTCTTACCGAGGACATCATTATACCAAAAGGCGATCCAGAATATATTACCAAGGTATTTCGCATTCCTAAACAATGCAAAGCTCACGCCGTTTTTAAGAATTTCAAAGATGTGGATGAAAAGAAACTCGCAGCTTATGACTCTTCAGTCAACAGACTCAATCGTGCTGACTATCTGCTTAATTTCATCACTACAATTAACTGCTACACTAAGGTATTCATACAGTTTACTCAATCCGCTGGTACAAGTCAACATAATTCACTTCTTTCTATGCATTTGCAAATGTTATCTTTGACCCCTAACGATAACTTTCTCAATTCAGTTTCACAGGTTTGTTGCAACATTTAGGTAGCTCTGAATAAATCTGGTGATGTCGTGGGTTACTGTTGTATAAGATCTGTGCTCATGAATTATCTCAGTGTCAGTCCACTTTATGCCGACAATGACGTAAGCCGATTGCAAGCTGATCTGAAGACTTTATTGTAAGAATTCCATTATTTAGGCTGTTGCACGAACGTTGCTGGCTGAAGTGTTACCCATAATTGCTCATATCAAAATGTATAGACACCTGAAAGCGGTGTATCCAGCCGCCAATGAACAAGCGCACAAGTAAGCTAATAATATTCGTGGGTGGTAGACGAGAATGGCAGTTTTGAATGTGATGCATTATTGAATAAGGCTAATATCTAAAACAAATACAATTATTTCTAAAACAAGCATGGTTTTCCTTTTATTCACTTAGTTTAGTCATACAGTGATCCACCCAACGAAGGTGTGTTCAACAACATTTTCTTGTATTGGAAATAATAATGAGACAAGTGGGGACGAGTGGCGTAGTGGTATGAGGCGCCTATGAACAAGTCCGACTGGTCCGGTCTCGCCTGGCCAATCAAGCCTTCTACGCATCAAATTTTTTTCATCCTCGCATGGGCCCCGCTTATGCAGGGTGCTTTTCTTGTGAGATGTCTCCATGCTGTTTAATTCAAAGCAAGATCTTCGTCTATTCCAAGTTCTCGCAGGTCAGCCTTGACCCTGTCCATCTACCTCATCTTGCTCTACCTCTAAGTCTTTTACCCGGAGCAAGGCAAGTCTTGTAATGTAACTTTTATCCCTTCTGTGCACATGGCCGTACCACCGTAATCTTTTTTCTGCAATTTCTGGGTGATTGGAACTACCTTCATTTGGGCTCGTATAGTGTCAATGCAGATGTGCTCTTTCAGTGTGACACCCAAGGTCCATCGTAACATCCTTGTTTCCATGACACTGAGTTTATGCTCCTCATTCCTCCTACATGGCCATCACTCACTACCATAGAGTGCTGCTGGACGGGTAGCGGTTTGGTACAGTTGGGACTTGAGCTGTACCGCCATTCGTCTGTCGCACAGAACTCCCGTTAAGGCTCTCCACTTCTTCCACGCTATGCCCATCCTGTCTGCTACCCTCGATGCCACCTTCCGCATTGATGGCTCTTCGCCTCGAGACATATGGTTCCTGAAGTTTGTTTCCCCACTTCCACATATCACGTCACCTTGGTGTTGAGCTTTAGCCCATACAACTCTAATCCGTCTTTCCACCTTTGCGCCTTGTCTTGCAACTCTTTTTTTTCAATTCTTTTTCGAATGAGGAAAAGTTCTCAAACTAAGTGTTTTTAGAAAGCCTTCATTGACATAGTAAAGCTTTCATGACCGAAGTGGAAAAGGGATTAGGCTGTTACCGAACATTGAGTAATGCAGGACTAGCACGTTTACAAGTTGAAGTTTTATTAAAGTTTTTCACCGCTATAAGGAAGAGAGCAGACTTAAGATTGCCTTTTATGCTTATTCAGCGCATCTCTGATATCTGCACCTCTTTGATTCTTCCCCTATAGCGAAGTGCAGCCAGTAAGTGCCCTAGATTTAATTGCCGCCGTTAAGCTGGTAGCCCTAGATTTGATTGCCGCCAATAAAGCTGATGACTGATGACTGTATTTGGTAAAGTGGTATTCCTTGCGAGTTGAGAAGGATGTTCTACTAATGTGGTATTAAACTTCTGTTTTCATCTTGCTAAAAAAAAATTTTCAAACTTGTTGCTAGCTCATTCAGATTAGTATATGGAATTCTGTACATACAAATCTATTTGGAGAGCAAATTGCTAAAAACTAACATGATTAAGGTCAAAGATGCGCGTTCATAATAGCATACCCGAATATTTAGTTGGCTCATTGTTTTTGCACTGTCTCATTGAGTGAGGATATTCAGTGATATGCATCAGAAATCACTTTGCTACTTCTACTACTTCTAATCTTTCCTTCGATCATTGAAAAATATTTAGCTTATTTGATGCACTTGGCGGTGGACACACGAAATTCGAAAATATGGGACAATGTGCTTTCACCAAGAAGATGCTGCCCATTGTAGAAGGGAAAGTATTTAGCATATGCGAAGCTTTGAAAGGATATGTATAGATATGTTAATGTTGAGTTTTTCTGCTTACTCATGTTGTTACCTATCATTTTAATGGAGCAATAAGATGGAATGTGTTTTACAGCACAAAAATTTTAAGCTGATGCAGAAAAGGTGTGGAAAAGGTGCGTGGAAGTATTCCCTTGCTTTTTTCGTTCACTCTGCCATTCACCTGAGAAGTTTACA